GTTGCTGTTCGTTCGCGTTGTTCAGATGGAGAGAATGCTCCTCTATGAATGGCATGGAGTGACCGTTCGCATTGCCATTGCGGTGCTATCGTTGATCGTCTCCATAGTCCTACTATTGCTTATACCCACCTGGGTGGAGCCCCGCGACGCCTGGGAGATCTCTGTGTGGTATCACATCTGTCTGCTGCAGGCGATCGGTGGAGTGCTGCTCATCGTGGGCTCCCTGAAGGTGAGTACTTCTCACAAATGTTTACTGAACTTGCTGTAATCTGTTGGCTGATTCTTCCTTCAAGTCTAACCATTGGATGTTCCTGCCCTGGTGTGTTGCGGCCATCGTTTTTATCTACACTCTGCTCTACAAGACCGTGAGCTACTACTGCTATCTGCACAGTAAATCTATATGCCTGGTAATCCCCCTATTTTACACCATTGCGGGTACGTAAGAGAGCTGCTCTGTGCCAGCAAGTGCCAACCTATAGCGAGCGCCTTGTGCTCTTATCATTTCAGGTTTCTGGCTCTACTTTCTGTGCGATGTGTTTCAGGAATTTCTCGACCTGCATCGTAAATCCTCGCCGCAGATCCTCAGTCACGACCCAGTATGATTTTGTTGGTGTACTTTCCCATTCTGATTCACATTCACATTCACATTCAAGGCATTAAAGTGCACTCTCTCTTCTCCCACGTGAAATGCAATTGAGCTGAGCGTAAAGGCAAATAAGTGTGAAAATTGCGGTGTGAGTGTGCGTGTGAGTGCATGTGAGTGTTTCGTGTGAGTGTTTGTGAATGTGTGGCTAGCCAAAAGTAAAATAAGCGTTAAAATGTCTGTCTAACGCAGTGGAACCCCAAATGGTGGGGTTTATGGCTGGTGGGGCTTGAGCTCTGTGGTATCGCTGCATGCGTATTGCATTACCAGACCTACTTCACCCCCTCCACCACACAACAAGGACGACACAAAGTGGCATATGAATAGATACATGTTTTGTTGCCTGTTTTGTTTGTCTCCTCCTCAACCCACCCATCCGCTACGCCCTTTATGCCGCCTGTCTGTGGGTTGCTTCTCGTAATCCAACAAGCAGACAGGTTAACTACACAGCAAGGACAGACCCACACACACACATGCACACAGCAAACGATAGAGAAAGGGAGAAAGCAAGAGAAAAAACTGTGACAAAGATGGGCACACAGAAGCTGGTGGGACGCGTCGGAGTCGCGTTGCGGCAGCACAGAGACAGACGCATCCAAACAAACAATAATCATGCAACAATAGTGAGAGCCGCAAACAAATTGCTTTTCTATGTATGCAACTGTGTGTGTGTGTGTGTGTGTGTGTGTGTGTGTGTTTGTGTGTGTGTGTGTGTGTGTGCGTGTCATGTTCGGGTTCACATGCAGATTAGTTTCGCTGCCAGTTTGTGTTCTTTTCTCTCTCTATGTTTTTTTTTTAGTTAGTTGTCTTACTTTCATTTTCTTTTTTTTTTTTTTTTGGTAGCTCAACCACAAAGAATCAAAAGCCACATGGGCGTAGCCCTGACACCTACAAAAGGGGTGTGCTGCGGCAACGGCGGCGGCGGCGGCAGCCTCACTGGCAATTAGAATGGAGAGCAAAAACTTTGCTGCATCTCCAGCCTGCCCCATCAACGGCATTTGCCAACACCCCTGTGGGAGTACAGTCTGCGACGAGCTTTTGTTGTCTGCAAAGTTTGCCTTTGACATAGGGTGGTTACACCCTGCCACCACTTCCCGCCCGTCAGTGTCCACCTGGGATGGCTGGAAAATGGAATCCATTCATTCAAATCTATGCGAGTGTCGGTGTCTGCGCTCCCATTCAGTAACAAAATTGAAAATTAACTATAAATTCTATGTGGCAAAACATGCAAACATGTTTGCGGACCCACCAGCCAGCCAGACACTGGGCAGGGGGACAGGGAAGTCGACCCTGATGAGGTGTCAACCGAGGCAAACACTTCGGTGACATCGAACACCTTCCCCTTCTGGAGCACAAAGCGATTCATTGTTGCGAAATTTAATGCGAGAAATTCATTAAAAAACAACATAAATAATGAAACGGCACCACACTCCACGAAGGGTTCGGACACAAATTGCAGTGCCCAAAATTTACTCTGGTTTTTTTTTTCTTCCTGGGCATAAAGTGAAGCCCTGCAAAGGTGTCAAGTGCAGGGCGGAGAAAGGCAGCGGTAGAGGTGCTAACCCTTATGACAACTTACAGCTGAAAGGGGTTTTTCGTGCATAATAAGTGAATCCCAGGAATTAAGATAAAACAGTCATCAAAGAGGTGAAGGATTCGCAAGGGTTTCTAAAAAGGGATACCCAAAGAAAAAAGGTTGTTCATTTCGAACATGGAACAGCAAAAGAGAAATCAAAGTGAAACAGTAGAGAGCAGCACAAAGTGGGAACAGTAGCAGTAGGAACAATCAGAACGACTTAACTAATAAATTCAACCGTATTCCTGCCAGACGCATCGTCGAGTTGAAGCGGAAATCATTTAAGCTGCCAAATCAGTCGGGCAGCTGGTCCAAAACAAAAGAGAGTTTGGCCGAGTGGGACCGCATTCTCCATGCGAGCGCCCTGGAATGGCCCAGTCCAACCATGGGGCATGTGGCAGGGGCAAAAAGAAAGCGATTAATATTCATTCAGTGTCGCGCGTATATCACTTTTTATTTGCACAGTCAAGGCTGGCGGTGGTGTTGGAGCTGCTACTGCAAGGGGGAGGAATGCTGAAGCAGGCGTCGGAAAGTATGCAATGGAATTCGGGGCACGCAGCGGCAGGTGGGCTTTCGTGTGTGTGTGTGTGTGTGTGTGTGTGTGTGTGTGTGTGAGTGTGGAGCGTGTTGATGTGTGGAGGTAAAGCCAACGCACAATTACATACAACAATTTGTGCTTTGTTTCGCTCAGTGTACGTCAATGTGTGCGTTGTGTGTGGTGCCAGGGGGTAGTCCAAATCGCCAAAGAGCAATCGTGCAACAGCAACAGTAGGTAGCAGCCACAGCACCAAAGATGAAGCGAAGGCAAAGGCAACCAGAGCCACTGGCCTGCGGCAATCCAGTCAGCTTTGTGCCGCTGACACCTGCCTCGCCCCACCCCAAATTGGATGCCCAAACATCAGCCCAGAGGGCAGGGACGCAGGGCAAGGCGTTTAGTTTTCAATGTGAAAATTGAGAAAAATTGCCAAACGAGTTGGTAAGCGATATTCTCGGTTGCCTGCCCCAGAGAACAAGGGAGAGAAAGAGAGAGAGAGAGGGAGACAGAATGGGACTTGCACTTGGTCGGATGCCAGGTGAGGCCCAGTCCTAGACACCCAACCCGTCTCCTGCTCTCCACTTATTGCAAGTTTAGTTCGCTTTGTTTTGACAACTTCTGGAGGAATGCCCTGGGATCGGAATCGTAGTCACAAAGGCACAAAACGTTTCGTCAAATAAAAACGGCAGAGCAGAAATTTTTGGCTTCAACTTACTTCCGTTTTGCCCTTCAGCAGTGCTCTGGAGCTGCAATTGGAGAACAGACCCGGGTTGAAGCTGCTGCCAGCCATAAAATTACGTTCCAGCGGAGAGCAAATGACGCGAAACAGTCGCACGGACATGGCTGCCAGTGGTGGGATTGGAGGAGCGATGGGGACGGGCAAACGGGCAACAACAACACGTTCCTTACATAAAAATCGTGCAGGCCATGCTAAAAACGTTTATCCCTTTTAGCCCGTAAGGAGAACCAACGATATGCGGGAGGACTCTCCTACCCGCCCAAAAACAATGCCCGAGAAGAAGAACAATTTCTTCGTCTTTAGTTTCAATGGGACCCAGGGCGGCCCAAAACCATTTTAAATGGAACGTAAGCTGAGACTGATGGCAGTCCGGAGTCCGGAGCAGGTTCTGGCCTGGGTTAGAGTCAGATAAATGCCGCATCATTGGTTATTTATATGCGTGCGGATCTCAGGTGGAGGATGGCTTGTCCGCAAACGATATATTTATTTGATTTTATTGAAATACATATGTACATATGTATGTGTAAGTAGTTGCACATCTATCTCAGCCATCGAATGAGTAGTGGCTTATTCCTGTCATTACGGGCCTGAGCTTTGGAGCAATTTCAAAGGTAAACCAAAGAGGAAATTAATTAGATCGCATTCAAATGATTGGCTACGTGCCATTATTAATACGAGCATAAATTATTCCACATGCCCTAATTTCGAAGGATTTGAATGCTTACAGGCCGCCATTTCTCCTCTCCTCCCCTCTCCTTTTTCTCCTCTCCCCATTTGTGGTCAATCACTTGATTGGCTTGCCGCTCCACAGCGTGCGGGCTGGCTGTGGTCCTGCCACAGAATAAATAAGATATTTAAATGCAACATGTATCCGCACTTCTAATTTATGCCAATTAATGGAAAGTTTAGTCAATGCCGAGAAGGTCTTTGGACATTTGTGGAACGGATTTACATTACATTACTCTGAATTGCAAAATCTGTATTTTAAGAATTATCGTGAATGGAAATCGTTTTATATTTTTAATTGATTTTAGGAGCTGCTCTTAATGGGATATTTTAATTACATGTTGTACTAATTACAGCTATTTGAATGAAACGTTGATTGATGCAAATTACTGAGTTTAAATGATGATAAGGCAGAGGCATAGCAACTTTCTGTTGCATTTCTACTCTTCCCTGACTTCTTAACATGGAACTTAGCACTCCTGTTATCTTTAACATTTGTGCATACCCAACGCCTGCGCCTGCCAACGTAAACAAACTGTTAAAAATGCCGGCAAGCGTCGAAAGTGTACCCAGTGTGGGGGCCAGCAGCATTGCCAGCAGCAAGCGAAAAGCCACAAACTGGTTTCGGCCACATGTCCACACGAAGCGGGCTCCAAGTCGAGACACAAACGAGCATGATTGAGCATGCACGAACATGCACACGAAGCGGGAGACGGACAAACGACGAGCGCACGACGAGACAGGCAGCGACGAGTTCTGCGACACTCAAAAATGAGACAGCGTCGCGAGCGGTACTTCAATCCGGATGGTGCAAACGTCAGTTAAGTGAGAGAGAAACAAACAGTGAAAAGAGCGCTTCGAAAATCGTGAATATTTTGTGAACAGTGCCAAACATTACTGAGAAAAAAAATAAACCACGAAAAATATCAAATCAGTGAAAAGAAGATTAAAACTTCAGCCAGAAATCTGCACACATTTTTGTGAGGTGAATATACCAAATGCCTGCTACGAATGCCCATGTTTGTGTGTGTGTGCGTCCACCCAACTGATGGCCAAAAACTTGCAACGTTCTGCCAGGTTGCAGCATCATCAGAGTTGTTACTGCAGAGAGTTACCTCAGAGTGGCCTCAGATCTCAGAGTTAGCTGCTTCCAGTTTGCCAAGCTTGTTGCAGTCGCTTTGCATTATATTCGTTGACCAGTTGATTCCAACTTGTTTGCAACTCGTTCTCATGCCTCTTGGCCCCTTGGCCACCTTGCCACTTGCCAACTTCCACCTCTATCCACAGATTGAAGTTATTTTTGGTCATCAGTTGGCCGTTGCCATTTGCATTTGTGTGGGGAACAAGCGGGAGACCAGTCTCGAGAGCCGACAGCCGTGAGGAAGTTTGCCCATTCATTCAACTCGAAAGCGACAAAACATAAATTGCGAATGCAAACGGCCAAATTGTTATTGCCACTTAGAAGCGCCCCAAACGGTGTTGCTCTCCCTCTCCGTGTGCTTGGTTGTAGTTACCTTTTGGCCGTTTCTTGGTAAGCAAAATGTGTGCAATATCTTGGGCTAACTGCAGTAGCCATGGCCGTTACAGTAGCCACCACCTGGTCGCGACTCCAATGCTACAAAAAAAGTGCAAGCAAGACAAAAAACGTTATGCCCAAAGAGCCCGCGATTGCATCGCATGTCGAGGTTATTCCGTATGCCCTAGCCCCTTGCCCCTTGCCCCGTGCCGCCGCACTAACAGAAGCAGCCACAAAAAAGCTGCAGCTAGCAACAAAGAACTTCAAAAGCATTCTGGCCAACTCCCCTGCCCCGCCGTCTGTTTCTTTTTTTTTTCGGTGATTATGAGAAGAGACCAGAACCAGAAAGTGCAATGGGCAACGCAGAAAGTCGATTTGGGTTATGCCCTTACCAAGAATACTGGGCGAGAATTTAGGATTGAAATAAAATATGTAAATAAATATATACACGAATTCTTGCCCCATTTAATGGGTATATTTTGGGAACAATAAGAATCAAGGCCAGAATGTCACTTAGTTTTCCAATTGCTGCCTTCCGTATTTTAAATTCTCAAAAAGAATTCCACGTTTCCAACCTAAAACTTTCCACCATACAAATTCGAATCAATTGAGTGAAAGGTTAAAATTAAACTTTTGTTCAAAAACTTGAATATTTCTTATGCACATTGCCTGCCGCATGGTGCCGCTGTAATGGCATGAGCCCCGCTAAGAGGGTTCCAATAGCAATTGTAATTGTGGGCGGCTTCCATTCCATTCCGAATGCCATTCATAATTTGTATAATTTTCAAAGTAGCCTGGGAAACTGCAAGTGCATTTCGCTTTTTCTCCCTTTGTTAGAGTATTAATATGCAAAGGGCACAAAAAAAAGCAGTTTAGCTCTGCTCGTTCGACACAAAGAACCTGAGAAGATTGGCCAGAACCGAATAAAAAGAAACAACAAAAGAAACACACACAAAAAAAGGGAAGATACGGAAAGGGAAACTAAAAATGATGAAGGAAAAAGAGTGAGAAATAAAGGGGCGGCATGCTCAAAGCGTTTAAGCGCCTTTGACACTCAGTTGGGCAAGGGGATGAGAATGGGGATTGCAGAGAGTGATGCCACGTGAGACAGCTGCCAATCAATGGCGCAGCCTAGGCCCATCACTTTGTGGCCATTTCACTTCGGGCCAACTTGCATGTGTGCTACGAGTAACACTCACACTCACACTCACACCCACAGACAACAGAAACAAAAAGAAAATACAGAAAAAAACTACTAAAACGTGTTGAGAAATTGTTGTACTTCTCTCACTTTTGCTTCCCCAGCTCCATTTACTACTTTGGAATGTGGCCCATGGAAAAAGCATGTGCTAATAGGGGGGGGGGAGAAAAGTTCTTTTTCATAAATAGTTAAGTTCAAAGTTGGTAACATTCCCTGTGGAGGAGGTACCCGATACTCGCAGGCCAGCAAATTATTGGGTAAACAATCAATTGTACGCAAAGGTACAGAGACATTTTCAGCTTATTAAATGGAATTAAGCAATTTCTGCGCTATTACCATGAATATTTGAAAGCGGGTAAACACAGTGCGAGAGTAGAACTTAATCCTTGACCAGTTGGATAGAGCTCGTGCCCGTACCCATTATTGATTCTTGGGCGGCAAATTAATGTTTTCATTGCGTTTTTCCTGTACTTCCTCCTCCGGCTCTTCCTGCTCGTATCAAGCGGAAGTGTCGTGTGGCCCAATCCGCTGGAATGGTTTGTCGTACTCACAGTCGTATAACTGGTCAAAAGGAACAGCAAAATGTAACCAAATTACGGCTAATGGTTTTTTAATTGTAACAATAATTGCTGTCGCCATTGCATGAGCAACGGCCGCAGGAGCAGCAGAAGCAGCAGGAGCAGCAGGGGCAGCAGCACCACCAGCAGCAATCAAAGCTGTTAAGAAGGATCTAAGGGAGAGGAAGGGCTTGGCCACCCTGCTACCCTGCCATTAATGAGTGCTTTTGCCCAGCTTTTAGATGCCTGCAAATTACCAAGCAGCGAAAGGGACAACCGAACAGGATGTTCATGTAGCCACTGGGGAGGATGAGGCTCCTGATGCTCCTAAACTGGTGATGTATGGTGCTGCCAGCTCCTCTTGATTCCCACATAATTGTCCATCTGCGAGTGTGTGTGTGTGTGTGTGCGTTTTGTGGGCGTACCCCTGTGCGTGTCTATAATTAAGCCAAAAAAAAAAAGTGCTAGGCTATGCCTTTTTGATGAAACAAAAGCCAGAAATGAGTGTCGAAACCTTGAACTTGATGCTGGTACAGGTTCTGCCCTCTGATATTGCGCCAGCTCCTGCTCTACCCACTCCCCATATGCCCACTGTGTGCTGCTGCGTCTGGCCAAGTCCCTGACTTGGTTTTGTTTGATTCTATTCATTGTTCCGTCGGCGGCAGTTGATTATGAGTGTAACTTTTTGTTGGCTTGTTGCTTTACTGCTTTCGCAGCTACTTTTTTTCAAGCTTTTTTTCTTCTCTTTTTTTGTTTTTTTTTGTTTTGGGGTTAGCCAGCATAGCATACTTTCCCACATCCTACGGTCCCTAATGTGCGCCATTTTGGTTTTGATGCTGTGTGTGTGTGTGTGTGTGCTGCCCCATTTGCCCAGAGGTCATTATAGACGCTTGGCCCGCTTCCGTTGCTCATGTTTCTCCTGCTGCTGCTGATGTTGCCCCTTGCTGCTGGCTGGAAGAGAGGCTGCCTCTTGTTGCTTCTGGTGTAGCTACTTTGAGCCTTTTGGCTTTTATCCGAACGGCCTCTGGTTCCCTTAACACTGGGCACTGGGCACTGCCACTGCCACTGGCTCTGGTTCTCTAAAGTGGCAATTTGTCTAGTTCTGTAAGCGCCTCTTTTAACGATAATGATGATTGCGCATTGTTGCGTTTTTATTTCACTGCACAAACACAGAGCAACAGACGCACACCACTGAAACAGGCAAGCCAAAGGGACGGCAGTTGGAGGTACAATTTCGCATCCACAATTTACCAACAAAAATAGCCAAGCGGACACACACTCGCACACGCAGATATTAACACTTATGGTGACACATCTACACAACCTGTTCACACACACACACATACACACACACATTGAGTTCACTGCGAGTCCAATTCCATGTCCACATCAATGTCCTGCTCCACGTGCGAGTTATGTTTCTGGTTTTCTGTTTTTTAGTCCCACACAGACCATTTTTTTCTGCGGCCTGTGTTTGCCTGTGCCTTGTGTTGTTTGCTTAGCATTTTCCGATTTTCATTCACATCCATTCAGTCAGTCTATGCGCTGCATTCTCTATACAGCTCCTCTCTGCCCTCCCGTCGTCAGTTTAGTTCATTCAGGATTTTTCTTTTATTATTTTCATGGCCATTTCTTATTCCATTTCGCTGTCTGTCAGTCCGGCTGTGGTTCCAGCTCTGCCTGTCTCTTTTGCCTGCTTTCTGGTCTCTCTTTTTTGGCCATTTTCCTTCTGGCCAGAACGTGTCGTCGCTGTTGTTAATTTTTAGTGCCGCACAGGAGAGTCTACTCGTATAGTATTTTCCCGCATTTGCTTTATTGGCCATGGCCAAAAACTGCGAGCCTGTCTAGACGCTCACCGCCGGGCCGACGGCTCGTTGGCTTTTCGGTTCAGGGGGCGCGGGACCACATCAAATCGCAATCATTCGACTAGTAAATCCCTATATATAGAAGGATATATATAAAAATTAGATGGTTGATGGTATTCCCATCACTCTCTCTGTGATTTTGTTTTGTTTTGGTTCAATTTGGTTTGACGGTCTCGGTTTTGTGCGTTTAATATTTATATTGCGATTTTGCTCCCCCGATTTATCTCGATTTATTGTTTGAATAAATAGAATTAAAAAGTTTGCATAACATTTACAAATATTTGGCCACAAATAAAATGCATTTCATATGTATGAATACATTTTGTGACAAAAATCAATATATATTTTGCGGTTGCGGCTGGTCAGTGCCGTGTGCCGTACACCGTGTGTGTTCGTGTTTGTGTTTGTGTCCTGACATTCATGTCATCCGGTTGCTGTCTGTCTGTCTGTCTGTCTGTCTGTCTGCCTGTCCCATTGCGATGGCTATCTTTTGCCTTTAGTGCGACAGCATCAGCTGATTACTTTATCACAAAAGCGTAAAATGAGCCACAAAGAGTGGGTACAGCAACAGAGGGACACACACAGACATCGTACACATGCATAACTTGGTCCTGGCAAGAGGCATCCACGTGCTGCATTCAATGACTTTATCGACTGCTAAACGTCGCTTGGCCATTTTGATGTGGATGCGAAAGCGGACAAGGGCGAAGAAGTAGCTCCATGCTCCATGTGCCACACGTTTAACCCACTAGGATCTGCAAACACACACACACACACACACACACGCACACATGCAAGCAAACACTGTAAATACACACACACGCACACACTTGTCTGATAATTTTT